AAAACACCAAAACATGTGGCAGCAGGACACTATAGGTACAAAAGTTCACAGCGTCAAAGTTCCCTAAGCACATCACCAGCTACTTTCCATGATTGCAACTAGACAAAGATTAATAGTCAAAGAGGTAGCATCCCCACATTTCAAATGAGGCATAAATAAATCTGATTGCATTTTAACAATAATGGGCAGTGCAAGAATGAATAAAATATTTTGTCCTTTATGACAATCTGTACGTAGTCCGAGATCTTTCACTTGAGGTTAATACCCCTGTATGATCAGCTCCCATTGGACTGATGCCCCTGTCTTGAGATCTCAGTTTTTTGACACTTGCTTTGTATTCTGCATATCTTGGTAACACATCTTCACATGTGATAATGAAACCATAGAATGGTTTGGATTGGAAGGTATCTTAAAGATCATCCAGTTCCAACCCCCCTGCCATGGGCAGGGACACCTTCCACTAGATCAGGTTGCTCAAAATCTCATCCAAACTGGCCTTCACCAGACTGCTACCACTTCTCAAATATGATAGATAGTGGCTTAGCAACTTCATCCGCTGGTTCCCTCAGGACCCACAGACGCATCTCATGGCCCCTTGGACTTGTGCACCTTCAGGTTCCTTAGATGGTCTTGAACCTGATCTCCTACACTGGGCAATTGTTCACTCTCCCAGTCCCTGACTTTGCCTTCTGTGACATGGGTGGTGTGGCCTGAGCACTTGTCGGTGAAGACTGAGGCAAAAAGTTGTTGAGTACCTCAGCCTTCTCCATATCTCAGGTAACCAGGTCTCCCATTTCCTTTTGGAGGGGGCCCACATTCTCCCTACTCTTCCTTTTGTCATCAACACACCTACAGAAGCTTTTCTTGTTACCCTTGACGTCCGTGGCCAGATTTAATTCTATCTGGGCTTTAGCTTTCCTAACCTGATCCCTGGCTGCTCGGACAATTTCTCTGTATTCCTCCCAGGCTACCTGTCCTTACTTTCACCCTCTGTAGGCTTCCTTTTTTTTGTTTGGGTTTGCCCAGGAGTTCATTCATCCATGCAGGCCTCCTGGCATTTTTGACTGACTTCCTCTTTGCTGAGATGCTTGACTATTAACCAGCTTTCTTGGACCCCTCTTCCCTCCAGGTCTTTATCCCATGGTACTCTATCAAGCAGATTCCTGAAGAGACCAAAGTCCGCTCTCCTGAAGTCCAGGGTAGTGAGTTTTCTGTGTGACCTCCTCACCACCCTAAGGATCTTGAACTCCACCGTTCCATAGTCACTGCAGCCCAGGCTGCCCTTGAGCTTCACATTCCCCTTCCTTACTGAGAACAAGGTCCAGCATAGCACCTCTCTCATTGGCTCCTCTATCACTTAAGAATTAAGTTATCATGAAGGCATTCAATGATCCTCCTGGCTGCTGTGTTGTCCCTCCAAGAGATATCAGGGTGGTTAAAGTCCCCCATGTGGACCGGGGGTTGTGAAGATGAGGCTGCTCCTATTTGTCTATAGAGGGCCTCATCTGCTCAGTCTTCCTGGTCAGGTGGCCTGTAGCAGACCCCCACTATAATGTCCCCTGTCCCTGCCCTCCCTTTAATCCTGACCCACAAGGTCTCAGTTGGCTCCTCATCCATTCCAGGCAGAGCTCCATGTGCTCCAGCTGGTCACTGACATAGAGGGCAACACTCCTCATCTCCTCTGCCTGTCCTCCCTAAAGAGTGTTTGCATAGAGGCACTTAAGTTGGGCCCTAAATGAAACTGACTTACTGGCTGGAATTCCTTTGTGCTGCTCTTCAGGTGCTCTCCTGCTGACCTGTGGTCCTTCTCCAGGCTCTGGGCACTTATTGCTGGCACTGGCATCAAACTGGAGTGCCTCCAGTGCCCGCCCCCAGCAACTTTAGTTTAAAGCCCTCTTTGTCAGGTTGACAAGCCTATGACCGAAGATGCTCTTAATGGCACCACTTCTCACAATGACAGTTAATATGAATATTGTCAACAATTGCACAATATTAAGTTAAAGCACGAACCAATAACCTCTCTATTTGTAGTTGAAGCAATACTATCAGAATGCAGAACGCACAACGAAAGGCAACCAAAGCTGCTGAAGGTGCTATGGTGATGCCACAATTTATTCCCTACTAATTTGGTTTTAATGAGGATATTATAGCTGCTATCAAAAAGTAGAGAGGTCAATATTTTTTCCCATTTTAGGGTCTGCAAGGCTTGGAACCACATACTTCTTAACTCAATAGCCTTGAAATTAATCCAGGTTTATTCCACTGCATGAGAATTGTTAGAAGACTGGAAACAACATCCCACACTCTGTCTTTTTATTGTAACCTTCCTTATAGTATCATCTTGCAGTGAAACCTGAATATCCTAATGGGATTAAACATAAAAGAAAGCCAGGAAAAAAAAAAGTTGCTGGATTAGAATTTTAACTGAAGCCTTCTGTGAGAAAGACCACACGACTGTCAGTGACCTTTCTCTCCCCATGTGTGATCCCAGTTGTGCCTAGTCAAGTGTCCAAAGGAGACTCCATCAGTTCACGCTGTATTTACCCTTTTGCTCCTAAAACAGGTGTCTTGTTAATGAGACAACAAGCATTCACGCCATTGATCAGGGTGTATTAACCCACCCTGCAAAAGTGCATAATGTTCTCTGGTTTGAAAAGCAGAATGTGATGATGCTATTTAAAACCCAAGTTTTGTATTGATAAAAAACGTCTTTCTAAACAAAGGCAATAAATTCTGTTCTAGCAAATATGGAAAAGGGGAAAAAATGCAGGCTTTTAAGGGCTTTAGAATGCCATTTCTATCTCCAGCTCCAGCTTTTGTTTGTTTTTTAAATGCGCTCTCTGATAAGTTTGCCTTTAACATATCTAAAAAAATGTTTCAGAATCTCATACTGTATCTTCACAGCCCTCATTAGATACCACAAGAATGCTTTTCATCATTTTCACTCTGAACTCCTGAAGTCCTTCCATGCACTGAACAATTATATTAATTTCACAGATGAGCAGAAAACCAAGCTCAATCAAAAGAAACTTCTAAAACACTTTTCATTTTTATCATTCTAGATCTCTTTGCCTTCACAGTGCTTCAAAGATTCATACTGAGTCTCATAAATGCTATCATAAAACATTAACAACAGGGTAAACTCTAGTGTGGGAGGATGTGTATGAGGTTGAATTCCTGTTCCTAAACCCAGATACATGCCCCAAATTGGGCAACAAGAGGAGCTTTCCTCACGTCTTTCCAGCCAGTGTGTTCTACTAGTAATATAACTTCAGCTCAACCTGTTCTCCTTTTCACACTAACTCACACCTAAGGTGTCAGGTAAATTGCTGAACACCTGAACTGAAATCTTAGGTATTATATGTTTTTATTCTTATTTGTTTTAGTGTAGCAACTACTAGATCTAGTGCTGAGCCAGTACAAAGAGCAAGAAGATGGTCCTTAACCTTTTGAGTTTGTAAGATAAGGGTAAAAGAAAAGACAAAGAATAGGTAGGGGGCCAGACAACACCATAATCAGGTATTCAGATCAGGAGGCAGCAGGCTATGATTACTATATATATTTTCTCTGGCAGTTCTGATTTGCAGATTGAGATAATTATTGCCAACATACAATTTGCTATCAACATATATAATCTCTTTGGCTCCTGTTTTAAGCCTCAGTTCTTATTTCACCACAAGAAAAAAAAATCCCTCTTGATCTCTCCCATCACATAAAATGCTCTGTCTTCTCCCGACCTAGTCTCCTAGCCTCTTTTGCAGTATATAAAAAGAAACCAGAGAAGGGAAAAAAGTTTTACAAAAATGATATATTGATATAAAAGGATCTTAATAAAGAAAGTAAATAAAGAGAAGATTAGACATTTGACTTGAAGATGGATTACAGTTTCAACATTATGGTTTTGAAAATTCTGCTTCCTGGTTGCAGAATAAACTGTGACAAAACATATTCCTCCTGGATGCTCTAATACTTAGAATGAACCCACCAAAGCTTTTAATCTGCCTAAAATCCCACAAACAAAAGCATTGCCCTTGATTATGATTTACCATGTCACTTCCCTCTTTGAATCAACTGGCTTATCTTTGCCCACCATATCAAGTACCAACATTTAGTCCCCAAACTTTGGAATCCAAACAGTTCTGCTCCAGCCTGTATCCCAGATTTTCTGTCTTATGAAGAATATCTTTATCGCCATGGTTTCATTAACTGAAAACTTCATTGTTCCTTTCTTTCATTATCTTTCTTCCAATTTTCTAATTGGAAATCAGAAATTCAGAAATTGGAAATTGGAAATTCAGCCTGAGCTCCCCTTCCGCAGCCCCTTTTGAGCCCTATCGGACAGACTGTCAACCTTTTTGTCATTCAAGAAACCCACTGCTTCCAAAGGATTTTTATTTGTTATGAGTAACTTATTGCATTCCTAAACTTATATTTGGCTAAATGTGATCTAAGCGACAATCATCCCTTCCTTCAGGATCATCAGTGGGTTTTTTCCATTGTGTTTGTTGGTCTTCTAGAATAAACACTTTTCTTTCATAAATTGTCTAGCAGCATGTGTCTTGAACTCTGATAAACACAATGTCATCATAAATATCTTTCCTGATAAAAGGATTTCCATGGCTCCAATGTCACTGATAGATAGTTATGAAAACTGCAGTCTGCCCACTGCACAGGACAGAAGGACTGCTTTCTCACAAGCAAACAACAGCTCTCTGATGGTTAAGATTTTGGCCTAACAAAGCAAGCATTAATCAACCTGGAGCTCTTAAATACATGGTAACTGTAACAGGTACTTGTGCTGGACTTACTTTTTATATCCAAAACATTGTGTAAATGATGTATTTCATACAATTATAGCATTTAGAACTCAAATTCTAATTTCGGCAAAATTGACTCTACGCCGGCTTTAGCCCATGTACCCTAATTTATACCACTGGGTGAACAGAAACCAGTTAAATTCACTATTAATTTGTAGAGCAAAAAGAATAAAGAGACAATACCTGCACAAACCCACACATCATATAGTCATCAAACAAAGGCAGACTAGGGCGGTCCTCTCGATAAATTGTGATTTTGTAGCTGCTCACAACCTGAGGGCTGGGCTGCAAATCGTCTGTTACAAGAATGACAACTTTGTTCAATCCAAGGCCAAGGGGATAGTTAGCAACGCTGCAAGGCAAAACAGGAAAGAAGTGGAATAAACACTAAAGAAACGAAGTTTTACACTGAAACTTTTATTTCTAACATTTTCTTTCTCTTACAAAATACACATGATTTTAAATAAAAAACAGTGTAAAACAAGATTTGTAACAATTTACAGTTATTTCAGGAAGACAAAATACTGACAGTGAACCTTAGTTAAAACAGCTTCAGTGGCAGTGCAATCTGGCATGAACACTTCTGGTATGAAATCTGTGACTGAAGCCACTAGGGACAATAACTCCTGGCAGGTCCCAGTTTGTGGTCAACAGGGAGAAAAATAAAATCAGAGGTGTCAGCTAGCCATTGAAATTGATCTCTTGCCAAATGTGATGGAGTCCCAGACAAACTGCTCAGAGTGACAGACAAGAGCAAAGTTCAACTGTGCTCTTCTTCCTTTGGCAGGGGAATAAGAAATGTTGTGAGACACAGAAACTGCACCTCCAGGGCTTTTACTTTTCAGTGTAAAGGACATATTGCTAATCTGTTTTCCTTTTACAAGGAAGAAATCTCTTAAGTTTTTCACATGTATCCGTGTTGACTGTCAAGACAGTTACCATTAAAACACTAAAAGGTTGGGTGGAAGAATTTTATTGGAGCTTCTTTTGAAATGATAAATCAAACTAATTTCTTATTGAAAATACAGGAAGTACATTAGGCACTAGATCAGTAACAACTGTACAGACTGGTTATTAACAGACATTCTAGGTCAAAGAATCTGCTTCATAGTCAGTAAAAAGATGGTATGTTGTATAGGTGCTTCATGCCATGAAGCAAAGCTAGCTCTGTAATGGTTAAGGATTCTTTCTCCCAAGCGAATCATTGTCCCTGCTCTCCCTTTTATCCTCTCACTGATGGCTAGCATGTAAATAGACCAGCTCTCTGGTTCTGAGGTACCTGACCCAGAAAAATAAACACTTTTTGTCCCTCCCAACATCCCAAAACAGGTCATTCCCAAAATGCCTATTGGGATTGTCCCTGGCACATGCTGCTGTCTGTGAGAGAGATCATAGTAGCAATTAAACATCAGGGAGGATTGTGGGTCAGTGCTCAAACCTGATGTTTAGTGACGACTTTTGTTTCTCTCCTATCCTCCAGCTTTATACTTCTCTAAAAGATCAGATAAGCTGGGACTCCTGCTGATGACAAGGCGACCCACTTAGTGGATGAGGGCAAGGCTGTGGATGTTGTTTACCTGAACTTTAGTAAAGCCTTTGACAGTGTTTCCCACAGTGTTCTCCTGGAGAAACTGGTTGCTCGTGGCTTGGATCAGTGTACGCTTCTCTACATGAAAAACTTGCTGGATGGCCAGGCCCAAAGAATTGTGGTGAATGGAGTTAAATCCAGCTGGTTGACAGTCACAAGTGGTGTTCCCCAGGGCTCAGTATTGGGTCAGTTCTGTTTAATATCCATATCAATGATCTGGATGAGGGGGTCTAGTGTACCCTCAGTAAGTTTGCAGATGACAGGAGTGTTGATTTGCTGGAGGGTAGAAAGGCTCTACAGAGGGATCTAGACAGGCTGGATCAATGGTCCAAGGCCAATTGCATGAGGTTCAACAAGGCTGAGTGTCGGGTCCTGCCCTTGTGTCACAACAACCCCCTGCAATGCTACAGGCTTGGGGGAGAGTGGCTGGAAAGCTGCCTGGTGGAAAAGGACCTGGGGCTGTTAGTCAACAGCTGACTGAATACGAGCCAGCAGTGTGCCCAGGTGGCCAAGAAGGCCAAAAACATCCTGGCTTGTATCAGAAATAGTGTGGAAGGATTAGGGAAGAAACTGTCCCCCTGTACTCAGCACTGGTGAGGCTGTACCTCGAATACCGTGTTCAGTTTTGGGCCCTTCACCACAAGAAAGTTATTGAGGTGCTGGAGCATGTCCAAAGAAGAGCAACAAAGCTGGCAAAGGGTCTAGAAAACAAGTCTTATAAGGAGTGGCTGAAGGAACTGGGGTTGTTTAGCCTGGAGAAAAGGAGGCTGAGGGGAGACCTTATCGCTCTCGACAACTACCTGAAAGGAGACTGTAGTGGGGTGGGTGCTGGTCGCTTTTCCTAAGTATCAAGCAATAGGACGAGAGGAAACATCCTCAAGTTGCATCAGGGGAGGTTTAGACTGGGTATTAGGAAAAATTTATTCACTGAAAGGGTTGTAGAGCATTGGAACAGGCTGGTCAGGGAAATAGTTGAGTCACCATCCCGACAGGTATTTAAAAGACATGGTGCTTAGGGACATGATTAAGTGGAGGACTAAGCAGTGTTAGGTTAACAGTTGGACTTGATGATCTTAAGGGTACTTTCCAACCTAAATGATTCTATGATTCTATGACAAACCCTTATAATATAATTCTGACAAAAATGGATCATTCTGAATGAGTAAACTTGAACTTACTTCTTCTTTTGGACCCAGCTGCCATATTCTGACCCATGTAAGCAGACTGCTGGCTGAAGGACGAAGCCAAGTGGGACAGTAGCTTCGGTCACAGTGCAAAATCAAGGCCTGGATACGAAAGCTCAAATTCTTTGCTGTCTACTGTGTTCAGTGTAATGATGGTCTGTTCCCACCCAGCATCAATGCTATCAGTGACTGGAGAACCTGGGGAAGATGCTAGCAACGGTGCGCTTCAGGACACTGACACCAAGTGCCTTCAGGACACTGACAAATAAATACAAATTTCTGAGTGTTGAACTTCCTCTGACTTTCCTCTGACTAATCTATAGGTACTCTGTGCTTTTGGAAACACAAAACAATTCTGTAATACTCTGACATATTTCCAAAGTTAAAGACACTTTTATTTTTTACACTCGTATTTTGTTGCTCATACCTTGGCCCTTTCTTCTCATCAAGGTGTACTTGGCAGTGACAGTTAGAGGGTTCTGCTCCTATCTTCACTGTCACCATGTCGAATGGGACTTCTGCGTAGTATTCTTTGATCTTTGGGTTAAACTGAGGATTCAAGTCCAGCTGTGGATTGGTGAAGATCTGCCTGATATGAGATAGGGTATCTTTATCTGTACCAAGAAGGCATCAAAGAAAAAAAACTGTGAAATGTATGAACATTTTTAAGTAACATGCAGCTTCTGGCAGATTGATAACACATACAGAGGCAAGATTTTTAATATCTGCCCACTCTGAGACTGATAATCCTGCTGCAAGGTGTTAAGGGAGTTTGTATTGGCACTTGAGAGAAGTTTTTAGACCCTGGAGATATTTTAATCATTCAGTGCCCAATGACTACTCAGAGTCACAAAACTTAAAGTCTGAGCAAGCCTCTGAAAATTCAATGATTAGGTCTGTGAGATCCGGTCTCCAGTTGGTTAACTGAAATGTAAAGAAGAGTTAGGCCAAAATTCATAACCTACTTAGGTACCAGCCTGTGTACAGGGTTTATGTACATGCGTAATTGCCAATAAAAATCAAAATAAGTTAGACATACTCTTAGTGTTTATAAGAATAAGTCACATGGAAATATCTAGACCCATGGGGTCATTTCCAGTACAGCTGGAACAATGATTTATTAAAATTCCTAAATCAACAAATTCCAGCTCCTTCCCTGTGTATGAAATCTCCACAATCAAATCCTATTTGCTCAAATGTATCCTCTATTTTGTAGTGTTTGCCAAATGACTCATGAGAATAATTATTTGCTGGCAATGCATTTATGACAAGTATTCTAATCCAACCTATTGGATCCAGATTTACAGTGTAATTACACATTCAAAACTTGCCTTCTGCATATATTCTCTAGTATGTGTTTAAAACTGGGTTCTTCAGAAAATATTTCAGCCAGGAAACTCTTTTACTATAATATCTGAAGAACCCTTGTGGCTTAAAACATGGCTTAAAAGGACCATAAAGGATGCAAGAAGTTCTGTGTGGGCCTTTTCTATGGTGAAAAATCTGCCTTGAGAAACAAAAAAGGGCAATTTCAGCACCCTCTTGTATGGATTAAAATGTAAAGGAACCTATTCCAGTAGAAGAGCAGAATTTGGGCTAGATTTGTGGAGGTACAGAGGCTTATAATTTGACACACAGAAGATTTTTTTTTTAAATCCTACAGATGAGTATAAACAGTTCTCCAGATCCTGCATGCCTTACCTAGAAAGGTTATCTCGCTACTAGCTTAAAAATGAGGAGGAATTTTCCAAATAAAATGAATGAAGGTATTTTCAAAATAAAATATCATGCAGTCAGAATGGTCATGACAGTCAGCCATCCCAGGAGCATTTCTGGCCTGTGACTGACACAGAGGAGCTCCTAGAGGCACCACGAAGTCAGTAACTGAGGGTAAATGAAACTCAATGGCTAGAAAAGCCTTGCTGCCATAGAGCAATTGTTTCATGTTTCTGAAGTGACCCCTCAGATAACGCGTCAATGAGGAAGGCAGCAGAAAGCATTGCTCCCATCAAAGACAAATATACTTTAAAACTTTGCATATCTTTAAATATACTTTAAATACTCCTAAAAAGAGATATTTTAGAAAAACTCTTAAGCAGTTCTTTAAAACTCCACTGATGAGCTGAAGGCTGTCTTTATACAAGGCTGATTAATCTCCATACAAGTTTAAATGTTATTCCACAAGAACAAATGTGTCTTAAAGGTCTTGGTAATAAGGGGCAAAAATCCGTTGAAGTTAGGCAAGGGATCAAGGAGTGCTGGAATACTGACATTAATATGCATGCATAACAATGTTTAACTTTGTGTTTGAGGCTTATTTAACATAAAAGCCCAATTAGTGAGTTATTCATAAACACTCTTGCTATTTAAAAATCCTTTTTTTTTTTTTACATAACAGACAACAGGCACTCCATTCACTGAAAGGTTATGCATAAAAACCCAATAAATTTGTTCAAGTAATCCCTCTTCCTCCCCCTTAGTTCTCTAGAAAGATCTTGACTTACCATAACTGCATTGTCTTTCTTCACTCTTACTGGAATAAAGCAATGCTGAAAGATACACAGAAACAATTAATAATTTTCTGCTCTAAGCCTGATTCACAGTTCTATAGGAGAAGGAACTCTCATTGTGTTAATTATAAAAAACACAGTTTACTTTTATTCTTTTCAGTGTGAGATCTTTGCTTTAGGCTCATGAACACTGCTGGGGGGCTCAGCAGAACTATTTACACAGATAAGGAAGAAATTGCTACTTTTATATGCAGTAAGGCAAGACCTTCCAGCTGCAATGCAGAACAATCTAATCTAAATCATATATGTTACCAGAAGCAGTACAAATAGGAAAGACATACCATATACAAAAGATCTTACTTTGATCCCTTACCTTCACGATTCTTACTGAAGTCAGAAGGAATGTTCTGCTTAGGACTCGCATTTTCTTGAGAAGATTTCCTGTCAATTCAATATCAGACATATTTTTACATGAATGGAAGGAACAGAATCTATGGAACATATTTCAAAAATTTCTGTATGGCAACTCATGGCACATGATATTTTAATGTTCTCTGTGTGAAGAAGAACCTTCTGAATTCATGTTCCCAGAATTATCAATGTTGCCTGTATGAACATGACAGAAAACACACTTTCCATAACAAATAGTAGCATGGAACATGAAAAAAAGAAAAACAGAAATGAATTTCAAAATATAGGTGAATTGCTGGGAAAAGGAAGAATGGATATAGCAAGAACAAAATAACCCAAACCATATCTCTTAACTGTTTGTATGCTGCTTTTTTCCATGTATTTGAGGTTAAAGCTAGACTTTGTTCAAAAAAGGTCTAATGAAGGTCTGTGTCATGGTGATAACCTGTGCTGAGGTTAGCATGAATTTATATAAAGGAACATCTCTGTGTTTTGATTTGTCTGCTAATTCAAAACAAATCACATGATCAACATACAGAGTACATATGTAAATCCTCAGTGAAAAAAGACAAGTCAGTTACAACAACACATTAACATCTCAGTGGTGCCCATATTGCTAACTCCATAGATTTTTTTCTTTCATATAGCATTTTGGGAGCATAAAAGAGGAAAAACAGTAGGCTTCCCTCCAATACATGTACTGGACCTCTGGCTCATTAGCATTTCTTGAAGCTTTCACATGTTTTCCAAAGAAGTCACCATAAATCATCTTTTTTCCAGATTGCTGCCCATTCAGTTAAGATTTTGACAGACACAAAGCCACTGTCTGTGCCAAGGAAGGGACACGGCAATATTGTTCTGTGCAATCAGCCATCACTACTAACGTTTCAACAGGAGCTGCTGAAAGCAATATTTAAGTCAATCATGGTAAAAGGTAAACTGTCCAATACTAAAACAGAGATCTCTGTGTTATCTTAATGAGATACGGAAAGAAGCAGCTGGCAGATTCGTGTGTGTCTGTGTGTGCATGAACATGCAGTTTTGAGCTTGAAGTGTCTAGATACTGCCCTAATTTCACGCACATTCATGACCTCCTTCAAAGGAGGCACTTAAAAACCTACTAAAGAGTTTGTTCTCCAAGTTATAAGTCATGTTGCACCCCACTTTCTGCTTGCCAAGGAGGTAATGGCTAACATCTGTCAACTACGTTTTTTTCTCTCTGCTGTTCCTTTTTGCATTGCCCAGTCCCAAACCCTACTGTAAGGTGAAAACAAGATGTCATAGAATCATAGAATGGTTTGGG